TATACTATAAGAAATATTAATAGTTTTTCAGCCAGGAGAAATACAATATCAGATAGAAACTTGGATCTACCTGAAATGGTTCAGAGATAGTGATGCTCTGGAGCACATGGAAGAATAAGCACAAATTCCCTCCCAAGGGATGGGCCTTCAACCTGCACTATGGCAGCCCTGTTACCTACAATATGGCAGACCGAGTAACCTAAAAACTCTTCTACTAGAAAATATCTAGAAAGACTAGATAAACATAACTTACATAAATGTATGGCTGAGCATGCAAATAAGGCAAATCCACAACATTCAAAAGCAAAGAGGAAGCTAAGAACCAGAGCAGTTAGCTGCTAAGCTAATGCCGAGTCTGCCCTGGGTTCCTATAACCTATAATCTTAGACCCTGGGTTTTAACAGTCCTGCGTTTGGATGGTCAAGTCAGGGAACCAATAACAAAATCCCCAAATAAAACTGGGAAACATGAAGGGCCAGCAAACCATTCTCCCATGAGCACAAGGAAAAATGTCTGTCTTGGTTTTGAGACAAAGAAACAGTTTCTCCGGGGAGTCATAACTTTGGACATGTGTCTTATGCAGGTTTGGAGTTTGAATTGCACTATAAGTCCGCAAATCCCTCAGACAAAAAAATGACCAAAAGCATAGTCTACTTAGTCTAATCTTTGTGAACCAGGTAGAAGAAAATACTAATCCTTTATGGAGATATGCATCCTTAAACCAGCAAAGGATTCCATAGATAAGGGTCTTCTGAAAATGAGCTCACAATCTAGATCAATATACACACTATTCATTTTAAAGTCATAGGAAAGAACTTAACCCTCTGCTTCCCGTTTTCCCAAGTTGATCATTCTTGTTATGGTCCTGCTGATCAGCCACCATTCTCATGTTTAGCAATCATTCTTTTTCTTGAGAGCAAGAATTGTCTCATCATCCTTTTTGTTGTCCCATGGTGTCTACTACCCTGTAATTATTCCATAAATAATTAGATGAACTCCTTCACTTAGTAGCTATGTGCTCTTGAGCAAGATATACAACCCTCCTTACTGCTCAGTTTTCTCATCTTCAAAGCCAGCAATAGCAGGCTAAGTTCTTCTCACATCTCATCACTCTGAACTCTTCTTCTTCTTCCCTCCTCTATTTTAAAAACCCTTGTAATTACATTGCGTCCACCCAGATAATCCAAAATAATTTCCCCATTTCTAATCAAGATGGTGAAGTAAGTAAATTCTGTGCTCGCCTCCTCTCACAACCACCTTAAAATTATAACTAAACTACAGAACAATCATCATTGAGAATCACCTGATGCCTAGATAAAGAGAAGTCCTACAACTAAAGACATAGAGAAGAAGCCACCTAGAGACTGACAGAAGAGGTGAAGGTGAGAATTGGGCTGACCCCGCACCCACATGTGGTATTTAAAAATCAGAAAGGATATCTTGGCTGCGGAGGTCCCCCCAAAAGGAGAGAGAGAGGTACCAGACCCACACTAGACTTCCCATTCCAGGATTCCAGGACCAGGAAGATTAGTCTACACAACTTCTGGCTGTGAAAACCAGCAAAAAATGTGGCTGAGTGAGACACAGGGCAGCTTTCAGTCCCAGGCATTTCTCTTAAAGGGCCCACACATAGATTTACTCACTGAAGGACTCAGGACTCATACACTCTGAGCTCCAGCACTGGAGAAGGAGTTTGAAAGGCAGCAGGGACATACAGGGACAAACTGAATTGTCTGGTTTCAGGGCGAGGGCTGGAGGAACAGCTTTCTCCCAGGCAAAAGTACTGGCAGAATCTACTGTTTCTTTGTGGAGTCCCCTTCCTCCCACATGCAGACACAGGAGGTTGCCATATCTGAGCCTCCATCAACCTGACTAACACTAGCCACCCCATCCTGGTGATTCTCTGAGACTCCACCCCACCTGACTTCTAGGCCCACCCAAGCTGTTTCCAGTGGCTTTTCCATACAATTGGCCTGTCAGGTGGCAGCAATCTGCAGATTACTTGGTGGCTCATACTAGGTGGCTCCAGGCAGGGCACACACTGTGACTCAACTTGGCCTGCAGCGGGGCTCCTCCCAGGAGGCCCAGGACTGGAGTGCCCAGTGGTCGGCTTTTGACTGGGACGGAGTACCACCCAGGGCCACATACAAAGATGACACACCCAAAGGATAGACTACCAGAGCCCTGCTAAAGCAAATTCTGTTTCATAGGGTCAGCCCCTGCACTACAGCTCCTCCACTGTAGTTACCAGTCAGTTCTCACAACCAATCAGACTGTGCATCAATCCCTCTCCTTGGCTGCAAACAGCAACCAAGGCTTAACTACAACAGGAGGGTACACACAACCCATACAAGGGACACACCTGGAGCACCCAGCATAGGTGACCAGGGAGAGTGTGCCACAGGGCCACCAGGACGGCTACTATATAAGGCCACGCTACTAAGAATAAGAGACATAGCAGCCTTACCTACACAGAGAAACAAACACAGGGAGGCAGCCAAAATGGGTAGACAAAGAAACATGTCCCAAACGAAAGAAGAGAACAAAGCTTCAGAAAAAGAACTAAACAAAGTGGAAGCAAACAACATACCAGATACAGAGTTCAAAACACTGGTTATATGGATGCTCAGTGAACTTAGAGGGAGAATAGAGGAACTCAGTGGGAACTCAGCAACAAGAATAAAGAACCCCCAAAAATGAAGATAGTTTAAAGGGCCTTTGGGACATTAACATCAGTGGCGTACCAGAAGGAAAAGAGAGAGAGAGAGGAATTGAAAATCTATTTCAAGAAATAATGACAGAAAAATTCCCTAACCTGGTGAAGGAAATAGACATACAAGCTCAGCAAGCACAGAGAGTCCCAAACAAGATAAACCCAAACAGGCCCACATCAAGACACATCATAATTAAAATGCCAAAGGTTAAAGACAAGGAGAGAATCTTGAAAGCAGCAAGAGAAAAGTGGCTAGTTACCTACAAGGAAGCTCCCAGAAGACTGTCAGGCGATTTCTCAACAGAAACTTTACAGGCCAGAAGGGACTAGCAGAAAATATTCAAAGCGATGAAAAGCAGGGACCTACAACCACGATTACTCTAACCAGCAAAGCTACCGTTTAGAATCAAAGTACAGATAAGAAAGTCCTAGATAAGAAAAAGCTAAAGGAGTTCATCATCACCAAGCTACTATTATAGGAAATGTTAGAGGGACAAGAAGAAGAGGAGGAGGAGGCAGAGGAGGAAAAAGAGGAAGAGGAAGAGATCAGAAACATGAATAATAAAAAGGCAATAACTACATATCTATCAACAATTACTTTAAATGTAAATGGATTAAATGCTCCAATCAAAAGACAGAGTGGCTAAATGGATAAGAAAAGAAGACCCTTACATGAGACCCTTCAGGAGACTCACTTCAGATCGAAAGACATACAGACTGAAATTAAAGGCATGGAAAAAAAATGTTTCATAAAAATGGAAACAAACAAAAAAGCTGGTGTAGTAATACTTATATCAGACAAAGTAGACTTTAAAACAAAGGTTATAACAAGAGACAAAGAAGGATCCAGTAATCCCACTTATGGGTATTTATCCAAACAAAGTCAAAACACTCCTTTGAAGGGACATGTAAATCCATATGCTCATTGCCGTGTTATTTACAATAGCCAAGATATAGAGCCAACCTGGGTGTCCATCAATGGATGAATAAATAAAGAAGAGGTGGTACATATATATACAATAAGATATTACTCAACTATAAAAAAGAATGAAATATTGCCATCTGCAACAACATGGGTGGACCTAGAGTATTGTGCTGAGTGGAGTAAGTCAGACAGAGAAAGACAAATGCCATTTGATTTAACTTACATTGTGGAATCTAAAGAACAAAATAAACAAACAAACTCGTAAATACAGAAAGCATTTTGATGGTTGCCAAATAAAAGGGGGTTGAGGGTTTTGTGAAAAGGAGGAAGAGACTATGAAGTACAAATTAGTAGTTACAGAATAGTTATGGAGATATAAAATACAGCATAAGGAATATAGTCAATAATATTGTAATAACTATATTATCATATGGCTACCAGATTTAGTGGGGCGATCACTTTGTAAGTTATATAAATAGCTAAATACTATGTTGTACACCTGAAATTAATATACTGTTGTATGCCAACGGTAACTGAAAAATTAAGAAATTATTATAAAAAAATAAAAAACAATAATTCCCCCATTTTAAGGTCAGCTGATTAGCAACCTTAATTATATCTGCAACCCTTATCCCCCCTTATCATTATTACACATTGATGGATTCTGGTGATTAAGACATGGACAAATTTGAGGAGCCATTATTCTGCAAACCACACTGGCAGTAGCTCATTTGAAGAAACAATAAAAGAACAAACACTCTTATATAGCACTTGCTATGAACCAGCAGTTTATTAATTCATTTATTCCTTACGACAACCCTATTAAGGGGCTATTTTACTTTTTCCCATTTTTTAAATGAGAAAATTGAGCACCATGAGCTAAGGAATATGGGCAGCCCCTAGAAGTTGGAAAGGCAAAGAAATGGATTCTCCGCTCAAGTCTCCATAAAAGAACACAGCCCTGTTGACATTCTTATTTTAGCCCAGTGAGGCTTTTGAAATGTCAGATAATAAATTTGTGTTTCTTTAAGTTACTAAGTTTGTGGTAATTTGTTGCAACAGCAATAGAAAACTAATACAGTCAATTATAAAATTCACAGTCAAAACAAATGTTTATTAATAGATTCCCATGGGTCACTCTTTATGCTAAGTAGAAAGACTCTTATCTAGTATTTCAGAAAACCATCCATAGCTGAACACATAATCTGGACATCCAGTTTCCTCTTGGGATAAAAAGAAAGTCTTCCCTACATCTCCCAGCCTTGTAACTGAAGATAATAATGACTGCAATTCTAGTGAATTACTTGAGCTGACTAGATTTAGCTATAATCAATCAAACACAAGAGCCAAAGGAATGCATACCTATAAGTTTTGATGTGAAACACAGCATCTTTGTTGCCAATGTTTCGTACCAGCAGAATCTTCTGAGTGATGTATTTGACAGGGCAAGTGGAAAAATTCAATTTGTCAGGAAAATCTAGGATGGCTCGCGCACCTCTGGCTTTGATGGGTACAATAAACTTTTCTCTTTCAGTAACACAGGTCAACATATGGGCATAATCCTATAAGAGAAGGGTAAAATCATTATTTGTGGAAATACCAACACAATCAAGATAATGGGACAGGAAATATGGCCACATGCCAAAGTATCTAGCAAAACAACTTAATATATTATATGAAACCTTCTCAAGACAATTATGGTACTTTCAATGATACTCTTTTCTGAGAGAGAAAGAATAGCTCAAGTGTTAAAACCTACAAGCCACCTAAAACTAATTTAAAAAAAAAAAAAACCAAAAACCTACAAGCCAGTAGAAAGAGTATATTCATGTGTTTCCCAGATAGGGTTGTGGGATGGCGGATAGTCAAGGCACATTGTTCTTTAGATCAGAGGAGATTCACAGCAGTTTCTTCACATCCTTCTTCTAAACCCTACCAATTTACACTTCAAGCCCATGTATTAGACTGATGGCTCCATATAAGAGTCTTTCAAGGCCTACACTCTTTACAATATGACTTTGCATTCCTCCATCATCAGTGGAATCTATTTCTCTACCCCTTGCTCTGACCAGCATAATGTAGCAGAAGTTATACTATGCCAGCTTCAAGCTGAAGCCTCAAGCAACTTTGAGCATTTATAGTCTGGATCTTAGAATCCTGCCACGGCCAAGTAAACAAGCCTGATCTAGCCTACTGGAGGATGGGAGCCCAGATGGCCCAGCCAAGGCCATGCTAGACCAACCTTTGGCCCCAGATATGTGAGGGAGCCATGCCGAGATAAGCAGAGTTGCCTGCCCATCGCATGAGTATACCTAGTCAAAACCAGCTGAACCACAGTCTTCTGAGCAATAATAAATGTTTAAACCACTGAATTTTGGAGTGGTCTGTAATGGTACAACAATAGCTAACTAATACATAACCCAGTTTAAACTGCACCTCTTGTGCAAAACCATTCCTGACCATTCCAAATAAAAATGCTGAGGCCCTGGGCATGTATCTTCTCCAGTATTGAGTCTAAAAGCAACAGAAATACTGAATTAAGTCACCCTTTATGTCATCTCATTAGATAGAAAAATAGAACCCTCATCCCCAATGCAGTCAAGAAAAAGTAAACCCTCACCAAGCCAAATTAAATGTAAAAGGAAAGTTTTAACAGTCCTTCAAGAATAAGGCCACTATGGGAGAGGTGGGAAAAATGGCTTAGATGATAGAGGCTTTGTTCATCCCTCTTGTGACCAAATCAAAGTTGTGACAGAAACACAGAGCAAACAGCAAGCAAAGTCGCCTGGGATCTAGATGAACAGAAGCACTACAACTAGGGAGAGAAATAATTAATCAACCTGCAATGGTAGAAGCGGGGTGAAGATGCGAGGCTGCCTGATCCCCAGTGGCTGAGTGGAACAGAGGCCATAGCAGCAGCAGCCAGCACCTGCAGACGCCTCTTAAAGGGGCCATGTCTGCGAGCGGACTTTCACAGTGACGGACCTGCTAGCTCTGAGCACCAGCACTGGGTTGGCTGCATGGGGTGGGGCACCAGGGACTTACAGAAACACTGAGTTGTCGAAATGAGGGCCAGAGGCAAGGCTCTGTCCCTGGCAGAACTGCCAGTGGTATCCATTGTTCCTTTGCTGAGCCCTCCCCACTCCCAGTGTGCGTACCCAGTGCTGCCATAGCTGAGACATCAACAAACTGAATAACAGAGGTCGCTCCACCCAAAGGAGACCCTAAAACTCTGCCTCCCCCAACTCTCGGCCCCACCCATATCCAGGTGTGTCCTCAGTGATCCGGTGCTCCTTGCTGAGCAGCACCAAGAGTCACACTGATGGCAGCTGGCCTCGGTTTCTGGTATTGTTTCTTGAGGCAACTATAAGCACAGCATCTGTGGATTGTTTGCTGAATCTTAACAGGTGGTCCCAAAAGGGCACCGGCTGGGGCTAAACTTGGCCTGCAGCTGAACCTCTCTCAGGACAGTACTATTGGACACCTACTACACAAAGCCATGTAAATAAGACTGGGAGACTTAGGAGCTTTGCTTAATACATAGAAACAGACACAGAAAGTCAACCAAAATGAGAAGACAAAGAAGCAGAAACCATATGAGAGAACAGAACAGAGACCCAGGAATAATGGAGTCAAGCAATCTAACAGATGCAGAGTTCAAAACATTGGTTATAAAGATGCTCAATGAACTAAGGGGAAGTGTAGATGAATTCACTGAGAAATTTAACAGAGACAAAAAAACATAAAATGGAAATGGAAATTATAAAAGGGAACCGGAAATGAAGAACACATTATCTGAGATAAAGAGTATATCAACAGAGTGGATAAAGAAGAGGATTGAACTGCTGATATAGAGGATGGGGAAGGCAAGGACACTCAATCAGAATAGCAAGAAAAAAGAAGCCAAGTCTATAATAATTTAAGGAGCCTATGGGACACTATTAGATGTAAAAATATCCATGTCATAAGGATACTAGAAGGAAAACAAGAAGTTGAAGAGCTATTCGGAGAAATAATGATGGAAAACTTCCCTCGTCTGGTGAAGGAAATAGACATAAAACCTAGCAAGCTCAGAGAGTCACAAAAAGATGAACCCAAAGAGGTCCGCACCAGGTCACATTATAATTAAAATGCCAACAGTTAAATACAGAGAGAATCTTAAAAGCAGCAAGAGAAAAGCAGTTAGTTACCTATAAGGGAGCACCCATAAGACTGGCAGCTGATTTCTCAAAAGAAACTATGCAGGACAGAAGGGCCTGGCACAAATTATTCAACATGTGAAAATCCAGGATCTACAACCAAGCATACTTTATCTAGCAAAGCTATCATTTAGAGTTGAAAGACAGAGAAAGAGCTTCCCAGACAAAAATAAGCTAAAGGAATTCATCAACACTGAGCCAGTATTACAGGAAATGTTGGAGGGACTTCATTAAGAAGAAAATACATGTATCAAAAACAGGAATATAGAATGGTAATAACTACATTCCTATCAACGAGTACCTCAAATGGAAAAGAATTAAGTGCACCAACCAAAAGTTAAGAGTGGCTGAATGGATGTGAAAACAAGACTCCTACACATGCTGCCTACAAGAAACTCACTTTGGATTAAAAGACACACACAGACTGAAAGGAAGGGGATGAATAATGATATTGCCTAGAGAGTATTGTGCTGAATGAAATAAGTCAGAGAAAGACAAATATGGCATGATTTCACGTATGTGTTGAATCTAAAAAACAAAATAAACAACAAAAACGAAAGTGGACCTAAACTCATATATATACAGAGAATATTTTGAGGGCTGCCAAATGGGAGTGCGGTTGGGGGACAGCAAAAAAGGGCAAAGGGATTAAGAGGTACAAATGGATAGTTACAAAATAGACATGAAGATATAAAGTGTAGCACAAGGAAAATAGTTAATGTAATAAATATGTAGGGATACTAGATTTAGTGGGGTGATCACTTTGTGAGTTATGAGATCTCTAATCACTATGCTGTACAACTGAAACTAATATATTATGTCAACTATAATTGAAAAAAATTCATTGAATTGTACAATGTAAATATGAGCAACTAATTGTCTATTATATTTCAATAAAGCCGGGGGAAAAAAAGAATAAGGCCACTATGAAAGAAATTTGTTAACTAAATCAGGTTTACTTTTCTTTAAGTTTTCCCATCATTTTAGTGTATGTTTTAGCTGTGAGGCAATCTTGGTAAATGTAAAGTCCATTTTGAACTTAAATTTCCTTTTGGTAATCAAAAAGTAAATAGTGTTCAGTGGTGGAGGTTTAAAAAACTATTTTTGGGCTTTAGGCATAGAGTAGGAATGGGAAAGTGACATATAGATTGACATACAGACCTGGCCATGCATGCAATTTCATGAAACCCACAGGACAAGTAAAAAGCAGTAGTATCCCAATTACTTTATTCATTCAACCTCGTTTATTAAGTGTTTGAGTGCCAGGCACTGAGCTAAGTCTGGAAATACAACGAGAAACACATAAATGGATCACTTTGAGCTAACGTAATGATAGAAGAGACAATAAATAGATAAATGAAGCACACCTGATATACAATATAATACAAATAAGATAGAGATAAAATAAGCAGGAATGTTCCCATGACAGAACCTTTACACCTGCAGCCTCTCTGCCTCTCTGCCTCTCTGAACTCCAAACTCATATCCAGCTGTCTAGCCAGCATTTCACTGAATGCTAAGCTACCATGTGCCAAAGCAAAGCCCCTGATTAATGCCACTGCCTGCGAATGTGCATGAAGATGTCCTGCCAAGGGGAAGGAGTGTGGGCTGAAATCCAGCCCAGTCTGCTGGCCCCAACTGCATTATCCCACAGGGGGGAGCCTCTGTCTCATGCTCCCAAAGGCTCCACAATGCCAGCTGAGGGCCTGTTCATGACTGTCCCTCCACTCTACATCTGTTCCCTTGCTGCTGCCCTGTCTCATTACTGGCATCTCCATCCTTCCAGGGTCCTGGATTTAAAGCCCTGGAATGAGGTATCCATGATGGCTCTATTTCTCAATTTCCAAGTAAATCCTTCAAAATGTATCCAGATCACAATTACTTCTTGCCCCCTTCACCCTGCTACTCTGGCCCTCGCCACTCCGATTTTCCCTGGGATAACTGGACTCTCTATTTCAACCCCTGCTCCCCAAAAGTCTATTTTCCACACCAAGGACAGAGGGATCCAGTTGAAATGGAAGTCAGCTCAGGTTGCTCCTCCATTCAAAAGCTCCCAAGGGGAAAGCTGAAGGGCTCATGACTGCTGCAGCCTGGAGCCCCTGTCAATTCTCTGCCACGTCCCCTCCTCTCTCCCTTGCTCACTCTGCTCTCGCTACAGGTTTCCTTGCTGCTCCTTGAGCATTGACAGAGATGCTCCTCCTTCAGAACCTTCAAACACAAGGTTCTTTCTGCCCAGAACACGCTTCACTCTAGTCATGCACATAGCTAGCTCCCTTGCCTCCTTTAGGACTTTGCACAATTGTCCACTTTCTGACTGAAGCCTCCCGACTGCGCTATTGTAAACTTAACTCTCCCATCACTTC